TTTTTTTTTTTTTTTTTTTTTTTTCATTTAGTTTGTCAATGCAGAAACACTGCTACATCACGATTAGATAATTTTTTTTAAGTTTGTTTAACGATTCGAAAGAGAAAAATATGGACAATCATTTTGAATCCTTGTAATGGATTTGCCAACGTTTTCTGATGAAAATCCAGCTAATTGAGAATCCTTGAATGAAACGGATTGTGTCTTTCATCCAATTCCTTTCCTGAATTCCTGATCCTGAATTTCCTCTTGAAAGTATCCTTAATGCCTCATTATTTTTGCATTCTCTTAATCCTTTTTTATAATATATGCTCCATACATAAATCCATCCAAAACGCATTCCATCTCATCCCACCGTCAAGCGAATGTGTATTATATCCATCCAAGAAGTAAGATCGTGTCGATTTCAGTTTTTCATTCATTGTGTTACAATCCAATCCAATATACAAAAGAAGAAAAAATACATTAGTCCCTTATACAATATGCATTAATGTTATATATAAAATTTATTACTGCAAATATAATGCTTGTGACTTACAATATTTAAATATTATATTTTATAAATTGAGCAAATACTATACAGAACAATACTTTGTATCTGCTTAATTTAAATTTAGAATTATTTTATATATCCATATTAAATAATGTAAAAAGGAAACAGAAATCACAAGATCAATTTGCAATAATAATATTCTCAATAATACACGAAATCATTGTTTTCCTTCAACATCTTTAATTTACAATCGAGAATTCTAAAAAAATGTATGCTTTTAGGCATTGCAAAATTTATAGAATTTTCGACTGTATAATTTTTAAAAGGAAAACGAGAAATGTGTAGCAGAGTATCATTTGTAAGTGCCAAATATAAAAACACATTTCTCAGGATATGTCGTGTATAACTTAAAATTTACTTTAATATTTCACAGACATTCAAAATAACAGACATATTATTGTATTCTTAATAATAATTTCAATATGAATTAGATATTTGTTTTTTTTCATTCTAAAGTGACACATAACACACAGCTTTTTTATCAAATCAAAAAGATGGCCCAATGATCGTCGTTAAAGGACACTCAAATAAAACATATTTTAAGCTGTTGTTATATTAAATGAACAATATCAATGCATAATAAATGAGTTATGTCAGTTTTTCCAAAGCAAATTGGTCATATGAATATTAATCTATTAGTAAAAAATAAATTTTTGACCTATCTTTATCAAATATGTTCTATATGTCATCCGTCGATAGATATCGATGTATTACATTACCTAGATATTAAGTGTTATATTTTTAATACATATAATATTTTGTATTGTCATCACTAGATAGTTAAAATAAATGTACTTAAATTTGTGTGATAACTTAAACGACGATGAGCCGTGTAAACAACTTTGATGTATTTATTTATATAATAATTATTTTAAGAATTAATTATAATTTGTGTATATAAAATAAAATATAACTTTATAATGAATTTAAGATTTTTTTATATATATATTTTTTTAATATATTTCATCAAATTGTTTATCAAATATTTTAAAATTATATGCAATAAAAGAAAAAATTTTAAAGTTTTTGCATAATTATATTGAAAAATCTTTTGATTTTTAATGAAAACAAAATTCAAATGATTAATACAATATTTTTCATTTGTTATATATTTTGCATATTATATATGCTCATTAAAAATATTATTGTTTATTATTATCATTATTGCATTAATTACTTTTTTAATATATGTAAAATAATTTAGAATTGTTATCAGTAAAAAAGTGTTAGCTTTATGAATATATATATATATAATAAAGCATTCAACATTAGAAGCTTTAAAAAATTTCATATTATATATGCTATAAAATGCTGTATTCACAATTGCAAATTTAAATAAACATATGAAAAAAAAATCGCGATCACATCAAGTATTATAATATAGGTACCAATGATATTAAACAATGCAATGCAAATGATCATATATTAAATTAGAAAACATTCACACTGAATGTAGATTATATTGGTAACTATATAATAAATACTATTATCAATGTGAACCAAAATAATATTAGTTATTTCTTTTTAAATTTTCATTTGTAATACTTCAAAATTGTTACACATCTCAATTATAGTTGTAGTGTCAAAACGAATTGCAAAATATAAAGGAATGTATTTTCAAACATAAAAATAATTCTAATCAATATTCTTCAACAATAGTATGCAATTAATATGAGCACGATTCTTCTTTATTAAGACAAAAAATTAAGATAATAAAATTTTGTTAATATTTACTGTTGAAAAATCTAACTGCTCTTTCAGGTTTATTTAAATAATCATTTTTAATTGTGGACTTATAAAAGGATGATATATTCTTAGATTAAATATTGTTAATAAATAGATATAAGCTAAGAATATTTAAATAGAAAATGACAAAATCTTTGAAAAAACAGTTTTGATATATGTAAAATGAACCGTGCTCTAACTATACATTAGATACAATACAATTATTAAATTCAAGCAACATAGAAATAATTTTATAATTTGTACAAAATTGGTTTGGATTGGAAGGTGTCTTTAAGTGAAATTTAAATCAGTAATAATGAAACATGGTAAAGCAAATATTGATAAGCCTTTACTTATATTACCATGTGAAACATATACGTACACACTAGTCGTATGAACGAGATCTGGAGCGAGATCTTGATCGCGAGTAATTACGTCGCAATGGTGAATAGGTAGGTGAACCACGACGCCGTGGACTATAGCTTCGTGAATGACTTCGACCTCTTTCCCTATCTTCACTGCGTCCCCTGTCGCCACTGTTATGATCTTCTTTCACTCGAATATATGCTACTTCACCCTATAAATAAAAATGAAATTATGTAATACAAAAATATAAAAGATATTAGAAATGTATAAATCATATACATTATTTTAAATAAATTTATACCTCATGAGACCTAAATCTTGAATCATCTAATTTCTTTACAGCATACTTCATATCTTCATATCGTAAGAATTCTACAACTCCAGTACCATCTTTAAAAACATCAGCAAAGCAAACATCACCAGCTTCACGCATATGATCCTTTAAATCTTGCCAACTACCAGAAGGAGGCAGACCCGTAACAAGAACTCTATATTGAGATCTTCTTGCAGGTGGTCCACGTCCTCGAGAATTACTCATTTCACCTCGACCACCTCTTCCACTATCTCCTGCTCCACGACCACCACGAAAATTATTACTAGGACCTCCACCTCTTGGAAACTCTACACGTAGTCTATAACCATCATAATCATATCCATCTCTTGCATGTACTGCATCCTCAGCATCTCTGAAAAAAATTACTTATAAAATAACAAATCTAATATAATTTTTATGTAATTTTTATGTAATTAAGTGAAAATGTTAAATCCAAACTTGAATTAATACTCGATATAATATGAACATAATTTTATTTTAATTAAATTATAAATTTTTAAAGTATTTTTTTATTTAATATTTTTCATTTAATGAAAAAGAATATATTATAAAACAAGATATAATATTCAATGTTATATACATATACAGTATTATAATACAAAAAATGAAAAATTTTTAATTATAATTTATCAACATACCTTGGATCATCAAATTCGACGAAAGCAAAAGGTGGTCCTCTACGATTTTTTAAATCAACAAAAATAACTTTACCGAACTTATAAAAAAGATCTTGAATGTCTTTCGTTCTAATATCGGGAGGTAAATTGCCTACATAAATTCTACATTCATTTCTACCACCGTGAGACATATTCAAAGTTTGTATTATAATTTACTGTATATAAGACACAAATAAAAAACACTTCTAAAAACTTTAATCGTTTCTTAAGTCTTACACTCTCTTTATTGATGAAACAAACAAGATGGTGGTACCGGTCGGGAAGAAGGAAAATCATGAAATATATAGAAAACTAAGAACGCTAAAAAATCTAAACGAATCAAATATTTTTATACAGTTACTAATTTATTACATACCATATTTTTTATTTTATTTGTTTTTTTTTATGAATTAATAATTTATTTTTAAAAAAAATTTAACTTTATCTTATTTTAAATATATTGAATTAATTAAA